GATTCTGCCCACCTCAGCTCACAATGAGCAGCATTTTTATGGGAGAATTCACATTTTTATGGGAGAATTCACATAGTTTTATATGCTCTTTGTTCTTAGTATACAAGCTCTGCACAATCTTGAAAGAAAAGCTGAGTTGTTGTCAGTTGTGTGATGTAGTTGTCCTTTCGGCCTCAGTCTTTGCATCAGACCTTGGGCAGAGTTGCACTGACCTAACCACTGATATTTGGGCTGAGTACCCATATTCTGTTTACAATTGTCTCTATTCACAAGCACAAGTTTATAGCYCATTAAACAAGAGGTAGTAAGAAAATACTCAGCTATGCCAGTAGCCATCCTTCCTGTTCTGCCCTCACATTATCCCTCTCCAGGAAGCCAACGTGGTCACAGAGTAACAGCAGGAGAGAGATTGTGGGTTTTAACCAAAGGCAAACTAAACCAAGGTTAACTGCTTGGCAAGCAGCACTAATCACCACTATACCATTAGTACACCCCTGATGAGAGACAGACCCCAAAGGTCCCAGCTTCTGCTGCATTATCCCACTCTGGTTTCAGTTAGCTACCTGTATAGTCAAGTATTATTTATAATATAAAGAAACATGGTAGAAGTTTTGCCCACTCTTTGTCGAATTAAAATGAATTTTTAGAATAGGCTGCAAATCATAGGTTTGGGATAAATGTGGAACAGGACAATATTTAAAATACAGGTCAGTTAAATCAATAATATGGCTAGGATAAAGAGTAACATTCTTCTTTCTTGGACTGCAGGGTAGACGTGAAGAAGACAAGACTTGATTCCTGCAACAATAAACTGCTTAAATGCAGAACATTTACTAGAGGCTTCTTGAAATAAGAAAGGTACAGTACAAAATCAGAAGGCAATTGCTCAGCTGGAGAAAAAGTACATATATATATGTATCATATACATATACATATATACATCATATACATATATRTAYACATATACATACGGCATATGTATATGTATATGTATATGTATACATATACCGTATGTATATGTATACATGTATACATATACCGTATGTATACATATACATATGCCGTATGTATATGTATACATGTATATGTACGTATGTATATACATGTATACATGTATACACRTATACATGTATATGTATGTATGTATATACATGTATATGTATACATATACATATACATMTACATGTATATGTATATATGTATCTATCATACTTATCCACTTCTTTAGTCCCTACTACTTATTCCTTGCCATTCTACAGGAAGGTAAAACCCTGTTGTTCATGTTTGTGTGACTGATTAATCGTGCCGCTGATTAAACGTCATTCTGATAGGGACAATGGAAATGTCTCCAGTTATTTTGAAGGCCGAGCATTGCATTTCATTATAGTCAGCTTGAATCATGGCAACTAGTATTTCAGACTCCCCTGGTTTTCAAGAAGAGAACCATCAAATTCAGAAGACTCCAAGAGAAAGGCAAAAAGAGTTGTGTGTGTGAGCCATGGGGAATAACTACCAAAGAAACAAGGATGAGGGAGAACATGCCCACATTTGTAAGCCAAACATGTTTTGGATATCTTGAACTCTTTGCACCCAATGCCTGATACTGCTGTGCATCTCCATCCCTGCCTCTACTTAAGGTATTTTAAATTATCTTCTTCCCTTATAACAGGAGCTCTGTATGCCGTATCCAATTCTCTTTTCACACTCTGCAGCTTCTTTCACTATTCCTTATTCCAGCAACTCTCTCTCTCTGCTTGTTTCCTTCATATCTGAGTTCTGTGACCCTCACCTACAAGGTGTTTTATGTTCTCTACATCATTTCTTCTCAGTGTGAGGAACTGCGTGCCCCTATTCATTCATCCAAGTCCCCCTTTCCAGCTGAATCTCCAGAAAAATGAAAAGAAGAAAAAAAAATCTCTTGAACTTAAGGATAACAAGAACAGAATTTGCTAGGTACACTGGAGTTTTATGTAGTATTTGCTGCTTAAATATTTATGGTGAATTCTGTGGTATGGGCTATTATGGAAAGGATGTAGCTCTACAGTAGTTAACTGTTTTGGAAAAAGTTATCCCCTCTCTTCCGGGATACTTCCATACACAAAGGACTTTTTGTTGTGTGTGTGTGGTTTTTTTTTTTCCCTCAGTATTAAGTAGAAAAGCCAAATAAACTACTGAACCCTCCACAAAGGAATAGTGAATCAGCTTCATGGAGAATCCAATCAGCAGCCTGTGGTCTTCCCTCAGCTGCAGGAGGATAAGGGAGTTTCAATTACTATAGACCTTCACAGGAAAAGTGCCTAATGACTGATTTCTGATGCCAGGTAGATCAGAGTGGGGCAGGATACCACGTTCTTACTTTTAATCAACCACATCCCCTTTTCAAGCTGGGCTCAGCAAGGGGGCACACCACCTTTCTGTACCTAAGACCTTTAGATACTAAGACTCCACATAAAATTTTCAAAAATGTCCAAGTCATGTAGGAGCACAGGCCGTAGTACTGTAAAAAAATTAAAGGCTCCTAAATCTCTTCTGGTGTTTTTGAAACTGTTACCTGCTGTTGCTACTGATCACAGCAAGAGGAAGTGAGAAGAAAGATGGACTGTGAGTTAGGCCATGCCTGTGCTATTTCAAGGTTTTACAGCTGAAAGACAAGATCTTTGAAGCCAGTTTTTGAACTGGAGCAGGACTCCAGAGGGAGTGCAGAGCACTGGTGTGAAGTGCTTTCTTTGGCATGTCCGACTTAAGACAAGTCTTACGAACCAGGCACAGGTCCTGAGTGCCTTTTTGTGGTTAACTCCAGCATGAGAACGTATTGCTTGCAATGGTCTGACCTGAAGGTGATGAAAGCATGGTTTGCTCGGCCAAGTTCCACATCCAAATGTAAAGGGCACAATTTCCTGGCTAGTGTCAGATGAAATGAGGTGTTCCTGTTGTTGTTTTGGTTTCCTGATACAGAAAGAGCAATGGGAACTTCAGGACCACATACCACTTCAGCTGCAGGAGGGCCACTGCTTTCAACAGAGGTGGGGCCACAGCTCCTGCAAAGCTCTGGGTTTCTCTCTTTTGCTGCAGTCAGTTGCTTTCTACAGGCGATTTACCGGAACAGACTTCCCTATATCTGATTTCTAATATTCTTCAGACTACAGACAGCTAGAGAAAGTGTGGCCAGTGTGTGGAAGAGATGGGAAACCAAGGCTGTTGGACAGATAGTGACCTACAGTGTGTGTTCTCCCTACTCATGGTCTGATATTTCCAACAAGCAGGAGGAGAGTGATGAGGCTCTGACACGTTTCACAGGTAAAGATCCTCGTGGGAGAAGATCAAAAGAAACAGGGACTACTTTGCTAGAGTTTCTTTATTGTGAAACTTTTGACATGTCTTGGTGCTCACCACCTGGTTTCATGTTGCCCTATCCTGGTAAAGATGCCTATTTCTCTAGGCTGCGTCTCTCCCATAAACTGGCTTTCTTCTAGTACCAACTCAGATGTCTTGCTTGCCACTGAGGCCCTACTGGTTTTTATAGGCCGYATGTCATAGTTTCTATGATAATGAATCGTGTTTCAGCAGCTTTTCAAATAGCAGATTACAGATTGTTGTTGGCAGTTTTTCTCTGAAATGAGTTTCCTATGATTTTTGACGCTTAAAGAAAACAGTCACCACTCAAATGGTTGAGAGGCATTGCAAGCCAATACTAACGAACTTGAAATCTGGCCCATTTTCAGCTTCCTTTCTTTTATCCAAAAAGTTCAGAGTATTTTGTCAGGGTTTTCACTCAAACCATACTAAATATGGAACATCTTAGCATCACACACTAATATACATCTGTGGAGCCCTTCTGCTACCAGGGGAGATTCAAATGACATCCCTTTCTGGTTTCAGAAGAGACGTCAGGTTGAAAAGGCAGATAATGTAGAGCAAATGCTGATGAGCAGGGAAAATATTATATATCTATATCGATATGTTTTAGGAGAGAATGCAATGTGAAGGTGTTAGTTCTCGTGTTATTTACTTGGTTATTTTCTGAGCTCTTGCTAGAAARGCATTCTCTGAATGTAGCCTAAAAGTAGTTTTCTTTTGCTGTTTTTTTTTGTTGTTAGTGTTTATTTTTAATGTCGGTAAAATCTGCAGACGCACCCTTATTTACTTTGCAATTACTCTGTAAGAGTATTGCTTATTCTCTTGGCCACATTTTTCAATAACTCTAATTGTCTTTTGGTAGGCTTCCCAGACAGTGAAAGATGCAGCCACACACTCAAAATGTAAATGGGCAACCACTGTCCTACTATGAGGCTTATTAGCTTACTTAGACTATTAGCTTACTTTGTGGAGGTTTGAGACCACATTATGGGACCTCTCTTGAAGGCTTGAAGATAGGGTGCAACTCAGAAGTTCCTACCCTGAAAAGGGATCTTTGCTTTGTCTGGAGAAGCTGATCCAGAAGGAAACAGGAAACAGGGAAGCTCGCTCCAAGCACTGCTCCTACTGTGTCATGCAATTGAGCATCTCTGTACCTCAGTTTCTCCTTCTGTAAAACATGGGACATACTCTTTCCTAACTTTAGTAAGTTACTTTGAGATTATGGATCAGCTGCAGGCATGTAGAAAGTAAATATTATGTGGGGGCAATGAACATAGAAGGACTCCCCTACTGTAAATGTGCATCAACTCCCCCTGGACTGAAGCAGCAGGTACATGCTCACCCTGACTTATGCAGACCTTCCTCTCCACCTCAGGGAAGACTCCCCAGGCACATTAGACAGCATCCATTTGCTCTTTTTCTGCACAGTGGCTATCAAAACCTATTTCTGCTCACCTGACAGTATCATTTTAAAATGAATAAGATTAAAGATTTTATATTCCAGAACAAACAATGGTAAAAGCTTTTACTGACCTATTGCCACTTGCCTGAGGACTTGGAAGCGAGCTACAAATTGCATGTCACTCAGTGAGCCATTATAAATTCTGTATGCTCCTCCTTTCCAAATCAAAATGTTGATCCAACTCCTGCGCTTTGACAGAGCCGGCTCTCTGCATCCTGAACAGGAAAAGGCAAGGCAAGGTATGAAAAATGTGCTGCTAGGAGGTGAGAGCYCTTGCTCACGCTCTTGCTCATGCTGCTGACAGGAGCAGACAGCTCTGCAACTGGCTTTCTGGTGGGAGGGAATGGGAGTGCAGCCTGATGGTCCAGTTTAGGAGGCAAAACTGAGTCTTGGCCAACCCCAGACTTTGCTGAGCTGTTTGTTCCTGTAGTGTCTGTTGTGGTTTTTCATATCTGCTCTGAGAGAAAGGAAGAAAGACTCTAATGTAGTTGTCTCTCCTTCAGGACCTGGAAAGCACCAGGGGCCAAATGCTCCCAAGTCCCATTGGTTTCAGCAAGCACTCAACAACAACTGTGTGACCCATTGCTTAGCAAGCCCAAGCCCCTGCTTAAATTTTGTTTGTTTCAGCCTCAAATGCATATTAGTTTTGTTTGGCTTGTGAAAACTGGTGTCTTTTGGTTGATCTATTCTGATGTATACCGTTGCCATATTGGATATGACTTTCTTTGGGTTTGTGACAGATATCTGTGCCATGAAGGCAGCTGGAGGTAAAGAGAAGTTTGTTTTGCTCGCTCACAGAGGTGCTTGTGGTTCTTCTCTGTAGCAGAGTTTCACAGTAATGAAAATTTACTCAAAGCCCTTCTTGGGCTTTTTTATTTTTATTTTTAGCATATTTCTTTCAAAACTTTGACTTCTGTGTCTGGTACATCTAGGACTTAAGTGGATTGGCTCTACAGCAATAAAACAACAGAGGTTTGAAATATAGATTGCTTTCATGGTATGTCCAGAAGTAAGCCTTACAACTGTAATTACTGGTTGATCGTTTTTCATTTTATTGATTTTACCTTTTCCCAATATCTCTGACTGACTGTCAGTAGGAACTTCTTTTTGGACTACTGGGTGTAAAACAAAATAATTTGCAATTTAATAAAACAGTAATAATTGAATGGTGTTATATACAACTGTAGCTGATGAGGTTTCAGGGTTCCTTTCTCAGTGGAAGTACTGCAGTTCTAGAAGTCTGAATTTGTCGTTTACATTTTGGTTTAGAAGTTGTAGTCTCCCATCTAAGAATATGTACCTTTTATGCACAGAATCTAATAGAAATAACATACATCTTTTTAAAAGGACATTCAGTAATAAATCCAGACCTCCACTATTTTTAAGATATATGCAAAGAGCTTTGGTTCCAGCTACTCAAAAATTATTTAGAGACCAGGAGTACTGGATCACATTCTGTTGCTGTTCCTCAGAATGAGTTTATTTTTCTTTAACTCATGTTTGTCGAGGCTAGTTTGCAATCAGATATAACTCAATGTGAGAAAGAGCAGCAGAGCTTCATGGACTCTGAGTCATCTGGCACTTTGCAAAAATTGAAAAATTCCAGAGGCACCTGAAATCCTCACTGAAGACTGGTGGTCACCAGCAAATTATTATTATGGTCGTAACAGAAAATCTTGGCTTTAGTGGCCTTTTACTACTTTGACTAAGCAGTTACTTGCCAGATTATTATTATTTTGGTACCTGATGGAAAAAGACTGTAGTTTTCCATGTTCTGTAAAGCTGAGTATACATTTATTGAATGAAAGCATTTATTAAATATACTGGGACAGATTCTCAACAGGCATTAAATAACTTACCTCTGTTTGCCAAGAACTCTTGCTTGTTATGTTTTATTATGCTGAAAACTATGGGTTGCATAGGTGGAAGACAAAGGAAATTTAGTTTCACTAATGAAAAGCCAAATCACTGCATATCTCCTGGTACCGTGTAGACCCAGACTCTTGGGTCTGTAACCCAATACAGGCTTTGTATTGCCCTACACAGTTGCATCTATTTTACAAAAATAGACTCATGAACTGCAGAGAAGCTAAATGATTATCCAAATATATTAAGAAGAAAGCATTTGATTAAACTAGCATGTGGTAGGTTTGAAACTGCAAAAAAACAACCAACCTCTCCCCCCAAAAATGTCAAACAACAACAACAACAAAACACCTAGAAAAAAAAGTCTACAAAACCCAGAAGCTCTTTTTGTCCTGTAACATGTAGCTAAGTTGTGGAACATTTTTTCCACGAGACATTGGGGATGTTAAACATTTGCACAGGTTTGAAAACTAATTGGACAAACTAATGGAAGAAAAAGTCATTAAGGTGAACTACTTTGGTAGATTTGGTGTCTACAAAGAGTAGACTAAACAAAACAGGCTGAGGAGCAATGTTGCTCGACAGTAACTTGAATAAAAAATCATCAGCTAGCTCGAAGTATGCCTTTCATTTCTTCTTTTCTGAGTTTTTCCATTGGCTGTGGTTAACTGGCATTGCTGTTGCTTATGTCCTCTGAAAGCTTCTTGTAAACAGTAATGAGGGAATAATTTGATATCCTCCCAAATTAAAATCTTGTTCCAAGACTCATTCAAATGAATGGAAACTTCAGTGGGCCCTGAATTAAGAGACTGACAGTCTTCTACCTTAATTTAATTGTCCCATTTGTTTAGTGAAATAAATCCAAGTAAGTCAGAAAACATCCAGGGACAAATTCTGATGTTATTCACAGTGAGGTTACACAGATGTCACCAACAAGCCCTGTACTTTTTTATTACCTCCTTTCTCTTCTGCTGTAAATACTTTTTTTAAACGATTTGCCAGCCATTCAGCACAATGCATTGCACTGCTTTGTCTATCAGCATTCAGATAAACTCTTGCTACTGGCCAATTCCTGAGGATGATTATTCCATAGCATACATTAAGTCCCAAGAAAAGCAAGATAGTTTTGTGTGTGTGTGTGGAAACAGGCTTATATCCATCTCCTTAATAAGGCTTTAAAGTTTTGGAGAGCTAAAGAATTCTCATGGAGAATCTGATACATAACATAAAGAAAACTTGACCCTTTCATTGTACCTTGAGTCTTGGGACTGAGCAGCTGTTGTGATCTTCACAGGATGCATGATATTCCAGCTCTGCAATAGAATGGAGGACAAATAAAACAGAAAGGGGAGGGATTAGATACTTTAGGTCCAAAAGGCATTAAACAGCCCTTGATAACTCCTGGGAACTATTTATTGATTCCTTCTACGCAATGCACATTCCCATTAAGTGATTTCATTTCCTTATTTCTCTAATCACATCACTTGGTTTAGAAGTCTTTTGCTCTCCGAAACCTGGAGGTACATAGATAAGTTCAATTTCTCATGTGGTTATACTTTTTATTACATGTGAAAAGTTGATACAGTAAAAGTAATTCCTTGGAGCCAGCAGGTCTGGAGCTTTCATCATTACGAGTCATTGCATCAAGGAAGCACCAGTGGGTTAATTGCTGCAGGAGTCTCAGACTGAAGTGGCTTTTTCTCTGCCTGAGAGGGCACTGATAAAGTCTTTGGAAAATGCCACTACCTCTAAAAAGCATATTGCCATTTTAGAAATAGTATTAAGAGTAATAATAATAATAATAATAATAATAATAATAATAAGGCAGTGAGGTTGTAATAGTCATATCTGTGGAGATTAAATTTACCATTGTAATAACTAATATTGCAAATATAGAAAAATACGGACTTAGCTTAGTGGTATACTTCTAGGAGAGATTGGAGGAAGAGAGAGGGGCCATTGCTTTGACTTCTGCTTTGCAGATAAAGGATGGAGTTGAGGACTTTTAGTTTGGCCAAATGGGGGAAAAAAAAAAAAAAAGAACATTCCTTACATGGCTGGCTTTTATATTTCAATCCCATGGCCATTGCTTTTGCTGTCCTCACCTTAAGGAGCTGCCAATGCCCCAGCCTCTCACTGGCCAGTTCAACAGCATCTGGAATGCAGGAAAATTTCCACCTCAGCCGCTGTTTCACCAGAGCAAAAGCCAGGGAGAGGAACGTGGGGGAGAGCAGGGTCACCAGGCTGCTCCCCACCACTGCTGTCAGCAGCAGGGAAGCCCTGGCCACCACACGTCCCTCCTGGAGGATTTTCAGGCAGCTGGAGGCAGGACTTGCTGCGCCACATTCAGATCAAATACTGGCACCGCTCACCTCTCAACCAGGGGAAAAAATATCTACAGCTGCGCTGGAATAGGAGCGAAAAGAAAACAGAGATACAGAACATTGGGTATATTTCTATTGGCGCTGGCTGCTGGGCACGGTGTATCAGTAGCCTCTGGTTCCCGAAAGGTCCCTCCTTTGCAGATATTTACAGAAGCATCTGCAGCAGTCAACTGGAGTGCACTGAGGTGACTGAAAAATAAATCTATGAAGCCATATTTCCCATTCTTTGGAACACAGTAAAAGTGTCCCCTGTTCTTTTCAGCACCTAAACTAGATGCATTCATCAGCTCATGAAAGGACATTGGCATATGGTTTAGGGAGACACATATACAAAGGAAACAAAACTGTGTCACCCAATACTTTCCAAATTAAATAAATATCCTCGTCATCATATATATTTTTGAAGACTGGGCTAGTAGCAGTGTGAGTCATTTTCTCCTGTATAATACTGAGCYCCCTGGAAGACCTTTGCTTCCACAAGCTTTTGTGCTCTTGGCAACCCAAATGCTTTGCCCTTGTTTAAAAATGTATTGCTTTTCTTCAGGGCAGCTCCCAGCCACAGTCATGCAGGTAGTCTCCTGCAGTTAACTCATCTAAGTGTAGAATCATATGTCCTTTAACCATTTAATTGTTAGTAAAAACAGCACTTCAGCACAGATAGGTGTAAAGTGTCCAWGGTTAGCCCCTTGCTGTTGTTCATCAGGGCTGGACTGGAGGGCACTGCCCTGCTTCTCCTTTCAGATTTCCCATGCAGCTTATGATGGGTAGGAATCTCTTTCATTGCAGAGAGCCTGCATAAGACTTAAGACACCATTTAATCCCGTTTAAGGGGGCTTAAATATTGCATGGGTCTAGGCTAACGTTCCTCACAAGGGGGTAATTTTCACCTACAAAGGCTGCCTAATAAAAGAGCCACCATCTGTTCACCCACAGAAAAACAACCAGTAACGGGCACAGAAACCAATCTTTCACTCGAGTTGCAAAACACTCTGGATGCAAACCAAGAATGATCTGTGTTTTGTTTTAAGTGAACAGAGTTTCTTTTTACTTATTATGCCACTTTATGATTCCATATAGACAGAAAGGATTCATTTCCCATTCATATTCAGGGAGTACTCATGCTAACAGCCACTAGATGTAATTCGTCCCCTTTTGAAATCCCATATGCATTGATAGGAAAATTCAATTCCATTTCCTTTGAAGTTAAATATCTCTAAAGATACTCCCCAACCCAGCAAAGCACTTAAGCAAGAGCTTCACCTTAAGCACATGAGTAGTTCTAGCGATGTCAAGTGCTCTCCTAGACCGGGCCTGTGATCCATAACAGATGTACACCTGCGCCTTGGAACGAGCGCCCGCCGAACATGGAAAAGTCAAGGCACCAGGGTATTAGAAACACACTTGATTATTGCTGAGKTCCAGTGATTTTGCTCCTGTCTGTGAGATTTTCAGGTAAAAAAAGTTAAAAAAAAAAAGAAAGAAACAGGGAAATTAGTTACAGAAAGGCAACATTTCAAAAGCACATAGTTCTCTTAGTCTCTCGAGGAAAATTTTACACAATCTGAGTTTCAAAATAATGTTAAGGTTGCAAAATTGAACAATCATAAAAGTCAGGAAATTTAAAAAGTTACTATGTGTCCTTCAATGTTAGCTAGGCAATAGCAAATGTATGTAGTAGGAGAAGTTTATACATGAGATTTCTATGTTAAATATAAGCTTTAAAGTGTTCGTGTTGACCRTGAATAAACAAAATAAACTATATCAGGTATTTAATGTCTGTAAAAGGCATCTTAATCTTGAGAATTTTCTGTCTTTAAAATTCAGAGGGCTTGATTTTGAAATATGAAATGTCACTACTGGCACTTTTCTCACTTACGGGTGAAAGTCACCATTGGGAAAGAATGGGAATTTCACCTGTGTTATAATACAATTCTCACATCAGAATCCTTTTGTGATGTCTATGAAAGGCTATGATTTATATAGTAAGGGAACACTGACTTAATTTTGAGTTTTTTTTTTTTGTTGTTTGAGAAGTAAGAACTTTTGCGGTAAAAGAAAAGACCACAGTGCTTCCCCCTAGCTAGCAAGAGAATTCAACCTCCCAAAAGAAATGTGCTCTACCTGAATTAATAATATGGAGCTGTTCCGCAAAATGTTTAAAATASGGAATGATCTTTCCAGGCCAGATGTATGACTTTCTCAAATCTACGTGTCGTGGTTTAACTTACCGTGAAAACCTAAATACGATGTGATGGTAGTGTTTAGATAAGACAGATGTAGAGWGCAGTGCAGGCTTGCTATTGCAGAAATGCTGATCCTTATAAATGAGCTGTATTGCACTGTGGGATTTTCCTGGCTGACTCTTTCAAAACCCAGGCTAGATTGAATCATCACAGCTGGGGAGAAAATAGCAAGAGTTAAATAACTACTTTATGAGAGTTGTAAGAGTGTGAAACTTTTAAGAAGTTAAATAATTATAGCACTCTCTGAGAGCTACAGGAAAGACGAATGAGTTTGTGTCTGATATTCTTATTTATTCTAGTATTGTACTGAAAGACAAATGGAAGTGTCAAGGATGTGGAGAGAATTTTTCACCAGGCCAAAGATATATTCACCAAAACAAATACAGGTCTAGGTATGGCAATGAAAAGACCGACACATGCTCAGCTCAATGGAAGATGACACTTTGAACTCAGTGCTTTGGCAGATTTTTGTGTACTGTGTGTTAAGCCATGAGGATGTTGAGCTCTCTCTTACTCAACTGTCAGCTTGTTTGCTAACAGCATGACTTAAGTCAGTCTGGGAATAAAATACATGGGATCGAAAATTTTATGTAAAATCTCCCTGYGTGCGTCACAAGTCGAAAGTCAAGGCGAATACCTATGAGCAAAGAATGTCTTTTCAGCAGGCCTGATTCTGAGGTATGCTCACTTCCATGGGGATTTTGGCAGAACCACTTTCCATTTACATCAGCAGAAGGGAGCTCAGCAGTGGGCCCTAGGGACTCGGTCACGCACACGGGAGGGCAGCTGAGAAGCGGCACTGCAGGGTGGTTGTTGTGGAATTGGTTGTTTTGTGCCATCTCTGTGATGCTGAGCAAGGGGGATCCTGGCCTGTAATGGAGTTTGTAGACATATCCATAAGACTACCATGTATCTGGTTTTCCCATACCAGACACCTTATTGTACCCAACTGTGCAAGAAAAACGAGGTTTGAGCATTTATTTGGGACTGCTCAATGCCWATTCAATGCAGTGGGCCAAAGCCCACTCAGAGCAGCATTGCCAACCAAGCTGCCAGGGGCCTGGCAAAGCCGAGCGAGCTGCCCTTTGCGCATGCAGAACCACAGAATCACAGAATCATTACAGTTGGAAAAGACCTTCGAGATGGTTGAGTCCAACCGTAAGCCCATCCCCAACCTGCCTGCTAGACCATGTCCTGAAGCACCTCATCTACACATTTCTTGAACACTGCCAGGAACGGTGACTCCACCACTTCCCTGGGCAACCTCTTCCAGTGCTTCACCACTTTTTCCATGTAGGAATTTTTCCTAATATCCAACCTGAACCTGCCCTCAACTTGAGGCCATTTCCTCTTGTCCTATTTTCATAAGTTATTTTGGAGAAGAGATCAATTTTGTAGATGCTCTTGGCAGCATGGGAACCATCAAACCGGGTATCCCTCTCCCCAGATCCATGGAGCTCCTGAGGCTCTGTGCTTCCTAAAAGGATGTGGGCAAAGCACCCCACAGGTGTGCAGCCAGCTCCTGTGCCCCACGTGCTGAGCCTGCACTGATGCGGTGATGGGCACAAGCACAGCTAGCTGACCTGCCTGTGTTGCATCTCCGGGGCTTGGTTTGGTTTGGGCATCATACATAGACATAGCAGATGATAGACTGCCCAGAGATTGTGTCCATGTATCTGTACGGGCATCTTCCTCGCCGGAAATAAGGGAATCAAAGTACAAAACAAATAAAAAAGTGAGCATACTGCGAACCTCAAGCAACTAAAAACGGTTGGGATGAAAGCTCCCGAGGCCAAGAGCGGGACAGGCTGGCGAGGTGAAAAGCGCATTGAGTCAGGGTGCCCATAAATCACTGGTGGCCTTCCCGCCGACTCCAGCCAGCTTAGATCAGGACCAGCAAATGGCATTCCCCTTCCCCCAGCTCTTTCGCTTCATGACCGTGGAGTGAAGCATGGCAGCCCAGATCTTATTTCAGATTTTGCACTGGTGCATATTTTCTCCCCTTAGATCTTTCAGCAAGTGAGCACCAGGCTCTGCACGCAGGATTGCTCCCGCACCCCAGCCCGTGTCCAGGGGCAGGGGGAGCGAGGGGAGGTCTGGCCAAGCGTCTGTGTAACCATTGCTGGTGGAAGGAGAGAAAGAGTCCAGAAAATGGGAGGAAAGCTGGAAAGGAACTACCATCTAAAAGCTTATGATCTGTGATGGCAGTCGGGTAAATTTAATTCCAATCTTTAACAAAAAATGGTTCTGATACTAGGAAGGAGTTGCTGCAGCCACCTGGGTCAGGGTGTAACACCAGCCAGGAGCAATAAACACAAATGTTTTGTGATGAACAGATTTGGGCTAGACTAAGAGCACAATCCCTCTTCCAGATCAGTTTATGTCATGGCTGAGGAGAAATTCTGTCCTGGGGCAAAGGCAACATAAAATGCAATACACCATGCAACCTTACAAAAAAGAATGGAAATTAAATTGGGTTGAAAACTATTCTAAGCATTATTAAGTAAGGTCAATAGCATGACAGTGCAGGGAAAAGGCGAAGAGAGAGTCAATTTAGGTGTGACATGGATAACAGAAAAGGCATGATAGCTATGGGAGATACTTACAGGCCATATGCATTAAAGAGGTAATTTGTTTTGACTGATTCAAGGAAATATGGCTAGGAGAAAGAGTATGAGAATTTAGCTTGGCTCTGGGCACGTGTTTTCAAACCGTGAAGCGCAGCAGAGTGCAGAGGAGCCACCGCCTCTGCAGGAAACATGAGGAACTCCAAGGCCCGCGTCACTGCTGAGCGGGCCGGGCAAGCGGGCCCAAGACCAGCACGTGTGTGGGGAGCGCTCGTGCCCTGGCAGCCCTGCAAGCGCCGCCGTCGCGGGGCATAAATTGCGGCCCCTTGGAGGCCAAGGGCAGCCCGGGRGCTGCACGTGTGCGGGAATAGCGCTCCGGGCCTCTGCCTCCCAGGCGCGTGGAAGGGATCCCCAGGACAAGCAGGGTGTGGAGCTGCTGGAGAGAGTCCAGCGCAGGGCTACGAGGATGATCAGGGGCCTGGAACATCTGCCCTGTGAGCAAAGGCTGAGGGAGCTGGGCCTGTTCAGCCTGGAGAAGAGAAGGCTGAGAAGTGACCTGATCAGTGTCTATAAATACCAGTGAGGAGGAGGGGGCGGCCTCTTTTCAGTGGTGGCAGTGATAGGACTAGAGGAAACGGCCACAAGCTGAGGCACCAAAAGTTCCACAGGAACTTAAGGAAACWCTTYTTGAMRGTGAGGGTGMCAGAGCCCTGGCACAGGCTGCCCAGAGAGGTTGTGGAGTCTCCTTCTTTGGAGATCTTTAAAACCCACATGGACGCAGCCCTGTGCCACGTGCTCTGGGTGACCCTGCGTGTGCAGGGGGGTTGGACTAGATGACCTCTGAGGTCCCTTCCAATCTTAAGCATTCTGTGATTCTATGATCCCTCAATCGAGGGAGCTCCACTCACTTCCTTGGGCGGATTTAGACCAGCTCAGAGCCCGGCCCAAAGGCTTCTGCCGCGCAGGGTGAAAGGGCCCTGTCACCTCCCCGCCTGCCCGGGTAGCAAACGCTCTGTTTTAGCCATTACACTTCTGTAATCCGACTGGGCGGCGATTTATTCACCAGCTAACGGCAGGAGACAGGAATCCTCCCGAGTGCGGGACCCCCGGCCCGTTCTGCGTCACTGGGGCTGCAAGGCGCTGCGCACATGTGGTGGCCGGTTAATCTGGGGGCCTGATAAAAGCTCAAGCTCCCCGCAGCCTTCCCCCGCTCAGCGGATCATGTTCCRAAGAAGCATATGGTGGTTTCAAGCGCTAAGCTACGGGGGGATGTTTTGATGTCGATTTGGCTACTTTCGTTCTGGAAGGAAAAGGTCCCCTAGGACGCTAGTACACGGACATGCACAATTCCAGTTCCCATGTTTCCCTGTTTTCCCGAAATTTGTTCACGTACCATTGCAAGAGTGAGTGCCACAAATTATTTCACTCCTCGGGAAGCATGGAGGTGAACTCCTGCCTTTTCCCTGTGTGTTAGCTTTCCAGGGAAATGCAATATTGAGCACAGAACAATGGGCCTCACTGCAATTCCTCACTGTTTCAAG